TTCAATTTTAAATTTATTCTAGTCATACCTGCATGGTCAATTAGTTAATAAAATGTTTTGCATCAGATAGAGCATTACAAGATGTTTTCCTTTCTTAAAACATTGTACTAAATATTGTAAGAATTTATTTTTTTACTTAACAAACAAACACAACGGAGTTGTTTGTCTCTGTCCAATACAGTACATACTTTAATTTTTGCTCTTTTCCAAAATGTTATCACTTGATATTGCATATTGGAATGTCCATGGTCTAAATGATGAAAAATTAAGTGATGACTTTTTTAGTAGTTTGTATAGAAAATATGATATTGTATGTTTAGCAGAAACAATGTTAAAAGACTCCTCAAGAAATCTTCCTGGGTTTTCCCCACCTTTTGTGCTCAACTCAAAAAAATTCAAGAGAAAAGGCAGATCTTCAGGTAGTCTACTTATATACATTAAACCTACTATATATAATAATTTCAGAAAGGTATATCAAAGTGAAAATAACATATGGATTGAGACAAACTTAAAAATCTCGGAACAGAGTCAAGAAACAAAAACACACTAGTTTTGCTTTTGCTATATCAAACCATGTGTAACAAAAACTAAATCAGGGGAAATTTTTAAAGCTCTAGAAAAATTGAAATTGCAAGTTTTAGATGCAAAGGTGAAGTATTAATATTTGGAGATTTTAATGCTAAGACAAGAGGGCTTAAAGATTACATAGAACATGATACAATTACAGACACCTTTTCCGATTGCCCTTTACCTAAAATCATATATGAAAGTGGAATATCAAGTAAACGTTTCCAGCTCGATACAAAATCAAACCTACATGGACAATTGTTAAATTCCATATGCAAAACATACGGATTAGCTATTATACCTAATTTCTTGGAGATTCTTGTGGATATTTTACTTTTCATAATGTTAATGGTTCTAGTACAGTTGATTATATGTTGGCGTCTAGTCATTTATACCATAGAATACAGCATTTTAATATATTGCCTCCATCAGAACTTTCTGATCATTGCCTTATTAACACTAGAATACTAATGAAGATAGAGTTGTTTTGTAAAGAAAAATATCACTTGAAAACTGTGAAGGGAAAATGTCTCTGGTCTGACAAGCATCCATGAATCACAATACATAAATTATCTTTCCGGGAAAGATATATCAAAGGAGATATCAATGTTAAACGAAATGCTTGACGACGCGAATGAAAAAAGTATGAGTTACAAATCAGTGAATTGAAAAGATGACTAATATTATTATTACTGCAGCTAACAAAAGTTTACCTCTTAAAAACTACAAAAATAAGAAAAACCTCAAAGAGAAAAGGAAACAAAAACCAAAGTGAATAAATTATGACTGTTTATTACTAAAAAAAAACAGAAGTGAGAATTCTAGGCAAAACAGTTTCACGGTATCCAATTTGAACTGCGGATGAAAAATTACAACAAACTGAGAAAACATCTTAAATTAGAGTATTACAATAAAATTGCCAAAGAAATAAATTTATTAACACCGAATAAATCTCAAAATTTTTGGAATAAAATCAAAAGAAAATAAAATTAAAATGACAGAAGCGGAACCCTTAAACACTTCAGATTTTGTTGATCATTACAAAGCCCTGCTAAATAAAGAATATTCACATGAAGAAAATGCAAAGTACAAATTAGAAAATTTGAGTCTAGAACCCCATCCCTTAGATTATGAGTTCACCCAAGATGAAGTTAAAAAAATATATTGAAACTAAAAAAAAGATAAAAGTCCAGGTCCAGATCTGATTTTGAATGAATTTATAAAAGCAGGAAGTGATGTACTTTTGCCTGTTCTCACAAAATTGTTCAATATAATTCTTAAAAATGGGACCATGCCAAAAGATTGGAATCTTTCACTTATAACATCACTTTACAAAAATGGTGACCCAAATGATACAAATAATTACAGAGGCCTTAGTGTTACAAGTTGTCTTGGGAAAAAAATCTTTACTGGAATTTTATAACAACGCTTAAATTACTGTCTTGAATCTAATAATCTTCTTAGCCAATATCAGACAGGTTTTAGAAAAATAAACCATAGAACTACGGACAATATCTATGTTTTAAGCACACTTATTAACAAATATGTATAAATTTTAAAAAGAAGAAAAACTATTTGCCTGTTTTGTAGACTTTTCCAAAGCCTTTGACACTGTTTGGAGATCTGCACTTTTATACAAGATTAATAAAAAAGGCATTGGTGGCAGTTTTTTTTAAAAACTTCTATACAATATGTATACAAATACCTATTACTCGTATAAGAAAGAAAATCAAATGAGTGAAGAATTTTTAGCAAATAGAAGAGTGAAACAAGGTGATAGCCGGAATCCAACACTTTTTAATATTTTTATTGATGATTTTGTAAACTATTTCAATACTACAGCAACAGATCAAGCATATTTAGATTTAATGCCTATTGACCACATGTTTTTGCTGATGATCTTATTCTTGTATCTGAGACACCTAGTGGTTTACAAAAATGTATAGCTATTTTTGGTAAATATTGTCATGATTGGAAATTGTATGTGAACATTGAAAAAACAAATATGATTTTTTCTCAAAGCACAAATTATGAAAATGAGTATTTTGAATGAATTGGTATTACTATAATCATAGCCGTATAGAAATAACAAATCAGTGTATATATTTGGGACTAGTGTTTAAATCTGATGGAAAATGAAATTATTAGCAGAACAACTGTCAGAAAGAGCTAGAAAGGCTTATTATAATATAAAACCAATTTTCAAGCTAATACAAATTTTTCTGTCGAGACAATACTTAAACTTTATAGATCTATGATTCTCCAATGAGTCCAATCTAAACTTATGGTTCTGAAATTTCGATTACAGACTAAAAATGTGATTTTTTTTTTTACCTCAGATCATTTCCCATTTGAAAAAAAAATACAACGCCAGTTTTTTAAAGACATTTCGGGTGCATAGAAAATCATCTAATGTTGCAGTTCTATATGAGTTGGGACAGTTCCCACTAATTAATCTGTGTTATGAAAATATGTATAAATTTTATTTAAGACTGAAAAACCTAGAGACAGAAAATGATCATAATGACCAATAAGTGGTGTCTGCATTTAAGGAAGATAAAACATTGGGGTCTAGAATATCTTGACAAAGAAAATTCATGCTAACAGAAATTGTCTTTATCTTCATTGGACATATCACATAAAACTTTAAAATATAAATTAGAGGAACATTATAGAAACATAATTAGTGAACAATTACAGAACATTTCTAAATCAAATTCTGGTAAAATTAACTTTTTACAGTAATATAATTGATTTAAATGAATATAAATTACAAAACTATCTACAATTACCATTGAAGAATTCTGAAAGAAAAATCTCAACAAAACAAGGAATTATTGCTCATACACTACATATTGAAATGGGAAGATACTCAAGGCCACCTATTCCTAGAGAAAAAAACGTGTATGTCATTTTTGTAAAATAAAATTATGGAAAATGAAAACCATTTTGTACTTTATTGTCGTAGTTATGATCAATGTACATTACAATATTACGATATCTTTAATGCTAATTGTTATATGAAGGAAAACCCTATTATTGACATTATTAACCCTACAAGTATTAAAACTGCTAGGAGAGTATGTAACTTTTTTGAAAAATTGCTTTCATATTAGGAAGGAAAACCTTCAACAAACTTGATATACTTTCTCTGATATTTTATTTTATGCATGTTAATTGTTGTATTCATGAATATATGCCAATGCATGATGGTGTTGTCAATAATTGAATTGAATTGAATAATTTCCGCTTACATAAAACGGCTCCTTGGTGTAGTGGTATGTCTCTCGCTTGACAAGTCAGAGGACACGGGTTTGAATCCCAGATCATCTATTTTTTTTTTAAATACTTTTTTTTTACTAAATGATAGTTTTCAGCGTGTGAAATGAAAAAAGTTATGACGTCTGGCTTGTACAAACTTATAAAATCATCATGACAGTGTGATATATATTCTATATAAAAAAAGAATCTTTTACACACATAATAAAGAATAAGCAATCAAATCTTTATTTGATCCATATCGGCATCAATATATATATATATATATATATATATATATATATATATATATATATATATATATATATATATATATACATTCAATAATTCTACAAATTCAGTCAGGGGGGATCCGACCAACCCCCAACTCCCCCCCGAACTGTGCATGGTCTTCTTTTTTCCCTAAGCGGGGGATACAAATTCTCCGAATTAGCTTGTTATTCAATGAAAGCTCATTTCACAAGGAGTATACTTGTAAAATACGAAAGCCTTAATGCTAACAGTTTAAAAGTTATGGTCATGGTTAAAGTTTTGTTAAATGGGTCAAACTTTAAGTGCAAGGTCAAAATTGTTGGTATTCAAATAAAGGTCTTGTCAAAAGAAGTACATCTGTAAAATATGAAAGCCCTAGTACTTACGGTTCAAAATGTATGGTCAATGATAAAGTTGTTTTTTTTTAAATGGGCCAAACTCTAAGGTCAAGGTCAAATATCTTTACACCCAGTAAAAGATATTGTCACTGTAAATATGCATGTGAAGTATGAAAGCCCTAGGGCCAACTATTCAATATTCATAGGTATGATTAAAATGCAGAATTCTTTTTTGTAAAAATGGATCATACTCCAAAGTCAGGGTCACCAGGTTAAATTTGGTGGTACCCAAAAAAAAGATCTTGTAACAAGAATACACCTGTAAAACACGAAAACCATAGCTCCCCCTCTCAATAATTATGAACAAGTTAAAGTTTTTTCGAAGAGCCAGGTGACGCTATGACTCTTTTTTACCTTGTACAAAGGCTTTTAAATTTCACAAGTGTATTCCTTGTGAAAACACTTTCCTCTTGATACCAAAAATTTTGAACTTTTGAACTTGGTCTTGGATTTTATTTACATTTGAGAAATATCAACCATTATTATTGTAAAAATAGAAAATACCCGCACAAATGACTCCAGCAGGGTATGAAAGAGTCGCTTTTTCTCCTTGCACATTGAACAAAAATTGGTAAAGGTTACTTTCAAGACCTGTGCAATCTGTGTCTGTTATCCAAGACTTCCCTTTAGCATGTCCATAAAGTCCATTCTTCACCGCCAAGGAAGCTCTCCTATTAATTTTATTATATGCAAACAATAAGGTGATTTTATAAAAACTACCACCGTAAAAAGCAGATTCCTCTTTCTCTTTATTTATACTGAATTAGAGAGATGATTTAAAGCTCATTTGCACGCATAGGCGTCGGTTCCAAGCGATTGGCAGTGGTGTGGCTAATTGAAAGGGGGGGGGGCGCTAAACCAACAAAAAAAGACAAATCGAAATTATCAATGCCCATATAATATCTATCTTTGCAAAAAAAGGGGGTTAAGCCCCCCCCCCCCTGCTTCCGACGCTTATGGCACGGCTGCATATCTAAATTATATAAAGGAGAAAACAAAAATATTATAACCGAATTAAGAATAAATAAATTTTGATTTCCAAAGTCAATACTTGTTCAACTTATTCTCAATAAAGCTTTGGTCAGAGTTTCAAGGGTACGGGCATCTTTAACAAGAGGACCATGGGCCATAACGCTCACCTGAGTAAATTCACCAAATCCTCCTTTGTAATACTAATTGAGGTCCCACCCTTTCTATGGGGGTCATTATTTGAACAATTTAAAATCTACACAACCTAAGGAATCTTCCAAATAAGTTCTTATATTGATTTATTTATTCACCAATCAAGGGCCCTCTGGGGGCATATACAATTAAAAGAAACAAACAATATAATCATTATTATAACATTATAATTATTGTAAAATTGACATGATCCTCACTTGTAAAAGTTCTCAGATTTGAAATACTGATATACAGGGTAGTTCACAATGAATATTAGCATATTACATATAATGTAATTATAATAATAATAAATATCTTACACACGTATATTTCAATGTAAAACTAAAATGCTCTTTTGTGGCGCTACAAAAGGATCATAATGTACATGATTTGAACAATATAGAAATTACACTACATCACAGGGCTTCAACATTTCAAGTTTCAGGTATTCTAGTCTAGTGGTTCTTGAAAAATATTTTTCCTATATTTTAAGGTAGTACTAGAATTTCCTATTGTGGTCCAAACCTGCGCCCACGGGTCATGATTCGAACAATTTATTATCTACACTACATTAGAGTGTTTCCACACAAGATTCAGGCATACTGACTCAGTGGTTTTTGGAAAGATTTTTTTAATGACCGCACTATTTTTTTGTCTTTTTTTTTTATTTCTTTCCCCTTGTAAAGAGATTTGGCCTTTATTTTTGTCATTTTATACTTCTTGAGTACGTTTTGTACATAATTTGGTTAAAATGGAACCAGTGGTTCTTGAGAAGAAGCTGAAAATGTTTATAAAATGTTTACTAACGGACAGACGAACTGCTAGACGGACATAAGTTTTAGCATAGGTGAGCTCAAAAATGTTTGTCCTTTCCAAAATAGCCTAACCTTTTTAAACCCCCAGGAATCAATTTTTTAAAATTCTAAATATTTTTTTTTCTAATTCCTATACGAGATTCTGTTAAAGTTTTAACTTCATATTCTTAATAATTGAAAAAAAAAAAAACCATTATCTCCGTACTAATGCTAGTATTTGTTTCATGAATAAGTAAAGGACAGGCAAATGTTTGGGTTTTTTTCAAAGATGGGCTCGAGTAGATTTTTAATAACATATACATTGTACGAGTGTAAATGACATACTGATGCAAGAAATCACTGTTCAAAAAAAGGTAACCCTTGCTTTTTACGTTATGTTGTAACCTTTATTTTATAATAACAGGTCCTGTCTTGCACCTGCTTACGTGCTTCTCGGCAAAATAATTTTGTCAACATGAAGTGCACACATACGTGATTTATTCTTATTTTAAAAATATTCATAAGATTCTACAATCACTCGAATTTTCTGGATGTTTTCTTCATGCAGGACAAAGAAATTAATATTATAAAAAAGACATTAAATGTAGATATACATTTATAGATGTTTTAAAATCAGTTTAAACTGAAAAAATACCGATTTTGGAGTTGTTTCTAGAGTTACATTGACTTTAAATAAGTATGTTATTTAAATGTAGATTCGGCAAATAAATACTAGTAGGCTGTTGTTTTGATATCTTTGAAACCCAGTTGATTTTAATTTTTGGAGCAATAAAACAATTAAAAATTTCTTTTTAATTTTAGCTATCTGAACATATCATAAATACACAATGTATGGCTTTAAGTCATTAAAAAATTCACATTGACGTCAAAAGTGCAATCGTGTGTTCAACACTTTTAAAGTGTACCACCGAGGTCAGAGTTGTGAAAACATAGTAAATGAGTTGAAAACACATCATTAATTAACTGTTATGAAAGTATACTGTGCAACTGACTGCATTTTATTTCCGGATTTTTTTTATTTGTCAACTATTCATTTCCGAAATATTTTTAGTTTTCGTATCCGACATTTTTCAAATACACTTTAGTCTTTTTCGGCAATGAAAGCAGGATTGAAAAAAAAATCATTTACCAAAATTTTTTTTTTGATTAATTTATAGCATGTGAATTGTCTTAGACATAAGTTCGGTGAAGTCATTGACATTTAACTTAGTAAACAATGATTGAATTCTATGAAAAAATTGCATGCTCATTGAACTCTTTTTAACTAGACTTGGTGCTTCATATACAGATCTATACATAAAGAATTTTTTTAATATGTTTTTAATCTTTTTATTTTTTAAAAAAAAATTGGCTTGAAATAAATTTGTGTAAAATTCCATTTCCACCAACTGGGTTTAGATTAAGTTGCCAGAGAGGTATCTTGCAAAAATTCCGGAATGAAAAAAATTAATCGAAATGATAAGAAAACCTGTCGGAAATGAAATAAAAAATGGTATGCAGATTTCCGGAAATGAAAAGCAGCGTACGCAACTATATATGTTTAATGTTCCTTTGGGAAATCGCTGCATTTCATTTCCAGAAATCTGCATAGCATTTTTACGGTGGTATATTTTGGACACGCAATTATTTTTTTTTTTTAGTACCAGAAAAAAATTATCTTGTGAAAACGACATAATTATCTTGTGAAAACGAGATATTATCTTGTGAAAACGACTTATTATCTTGTAAAAACGAGATATTATCTTGTGAAAACGAGATATTATCTTGTGAAAACGAGATAATTATCTTGTGAAAACGAGATATTATCTTGTGAAAACGAGAAATTATCTTGTGAAAACGAGATATTATCTTGTGAAAACGAGATAATATCTTGTGAAAACGACTTATTACCTTGTGAAAACGAGATAATATCTTGTGAAAACGACTTATTATCTTGTGAAAACGACTTAATTATCTTGTGAAAACGAGATAATATCTTGTGAAAACGAGATATTATCTTGTGAAAACGAGATAATTATCTTGTGAAAACGAGATATTATCTTGTGAAAACGACTTATTATCTTGTGAAAACGAGATATTATCTTGTGAAAACGACTTATTATCTTGTGAAAACGAGATATTATCATGTGAAAACGACATAATATAAAAAGTCGTTTTCACAAGATAATATGTCGTTTTCACAAGATAATATGTCGTTTTCACAAGATAATATCTCGTTTTCACAAGATATTATCTCGTTTTCACAAGATAATATCTCGTTTTCACAAGATAATATCTCGTTTTCACAAGATAATATCTCGTTTTCACAAGATAATATCTCGTTTTCACAAGATAATATCTCGTTTTCACAAGATAATATCTCGTTTTCACAAGACAATATCTCGTTTTCACAAGATAATATCTCGTTTTCACAAGATATTATCTCGTTTTCACAAGATAATATCTCGTTTTCACAAGATAATTATGTCGTTTTCACAAGATAATTTTTTTCTGGTATTTTAAAAAAAAAAATAATTGCGTGTCCTAAATATACCACCGTACATTTTTATTTCATTTCCAACAATTATTTTTTTCAGTTCCGATATTTATTTCTTTTTGCAAAGCATCTCTCCGACTATTGAACGTTTACTAAGTATGTGGATATGGAAATTTAAAAAAAAATTTCAAAATATTAATAAAAACATTTAATACATCTGTACATGTAGCACTAAGTCAGTACGTCTAATTAAAAGAGTTCAATGAGCATGCAAATTTTTCATCACGTTTAAAGATTACTAAATTAGATGTCAATGACTGCACCGAACTTATGTCTAAGACATTTTATTTTCTATACAGTACATATATATATACTCACCGTCAATGGAAACGCAACACCCTAGTTTTAGGATGAAAATTATATACAGGTTATAACTATGTACCAAAAAAGTTAGGACATCTTTTACTTTGTCAAATCAGTAATTTATCGGTTGAATGAATTTCTTTCCATTACCGGAAGTTGCTTTTTAGCCCTCTTAACAGAATTCAAAATTTTCCATATTTAATGAAATTCTAACAATATTTTGGGTTTCCAAGGTTCTTGTTTCCAGTGGTTCTTGAGAAGAAGTCGTAAATGTAAAAAGTTTACAGACGGACGGACGACGGACAAAGTGTGATCAGAAAAGCTCACTTGAGCCTTCGGCTCAGGTGAGCTAAAAATGTCTGTATTAGATGAAAAGTTGAAAGTTGCCAAACATTTCGGAACTGAAATGCAGCATGGGAAATAACTAAAGGTAGCATTTTTTAAATTTTTATCGGAATATACGAAAAAGCCTTTAAAATCCAGCTAAGTATACTTAATAATCGGTCAATCAATACCTTGAAGATAAAAATTAATAAATATATTTTTAAAATATATCGAATTAAAATAATAGGTAACAGTAAAAGAGGATTTTTTGTTATAATAGATTTGAAAAATATAGTGTTTTAATTAAAACACAAGTTAGCGACAAAAGAATTAAAAACATTTGATTTATATTATGTTAGATTTACCATGGTAGATCAAGAGATCGGCAAACAATTTTAGAGTCTATTGCATCCCATTTATTCGTCTCTACTGACCCCCATACATCTTGAAATTGAACTTCCACGCGTCCAGAAATATTAGTACCTCCTGCTAGCCTTAAACTGGAATTGGCAATTTCTGTTTCTGTTAAAATAAAAAAGAAGAATTATGTATATGTACCTTTTTTCTTTAAGGAAGATGAAAACAAATATCTCGGTACAAAAAATGAAAAAAAAAACCGAACCTTGATCACAGAAGTATGCAATCACATTCAAAGAACAACAGTCAATCAGACTAAAAGAACAGGAAAACAGTGTTGAAAGCGGAGGACAATGAAAGTTGTTCAAACATTTGGTTCCATTTCCAACGCCGAACCAAGGGTAATAGATTCTTCGAAGTCTGTGAAGACAATGGTAATTGATATACATGTATACAGAAATGTTTTATTTGTATTTTTGCGTATGATTTTCATTTCAGAATGTCTTACAACAAATCGTCAGTGACTTTCACGAACGTATTCGAAGCAAATTTAACTTAGACCTTACTTAAGACTGCTTAATCAAGGATTTTGCGTCCCTGCTTAAGGAAAAAGATCAGGTTGAAACATTTCTACACACAACTTTCAGCTTTTGGCCTCAAAATCTTAGCATCCTCGAGGTTCCAGGTGTTCTGAGACAACACGCTGTCGTGGGAACCCTGGCCAATATTCAATAATTATAGGCGTCGGAAGCAAATTGTACGAGTGGGTGTAGGTGGGATGGGTTTATTGAACAGGAGGCCCAGAGGTCACATCGCTCATCTGAGCAACAGGCTAGGTAAAAGCAAAAATCAGTTCAGTATTGAAATTGCGCCACATAAAACTTGAAAAAGTGATATACAGTCATATACTAATCATGAATTCATTTCATTCAAGACTTGACAGAATTTTCAAAATGACCAGTGACCTTGGTCATTGTGATTTCCTTTTCTTCATTTCTTCATTCAATATATATTTGTGTACGTTTTAGACATGGGTAACAACAAACTAGTTAACAAGAGGGCCATGGGCCATATCGCTCACCAGAGCACATTGACTAGAAAAAAAGCACAACTCACTTCAGTATTAAAAAGTTTGTATTAAGGGAAAGGGAAGGACATCATTTGAAAAAAAGACTATTCCAGACTACTCGAGGATACATCCATATCAATATGAAATATGAACAACCATGGTTTTTCTGTTCTCGAGATGAAGATTTGTAAAGTTTGACCTTCTTTTGAAAAACTTTAAACATTGCCATTACTTCAGAACAGTTGGCGCTTTCCCTTGATTAATCATGTTTATGAAAATAGTGTTTTACATGATTTTTTGTCAGTCGGTGGTCTATTTTATCATTGATATTTTGGATTTAGAGAAAAAATAAACACTCCTACAAAACCCATATTTAAAGATTTGATTGCAATGTTGATGTTGCAATGTAACGCCTTAAGCAAGATGAACGCAACCGGGTTAACGATGATGATATATGGAGCTACGCAACAGGACGTTGCCGCTGCATTTGATGTACACCAATTGGCTTTGCAGCGATGAAACGTTTGTCTCCAACAAGTTAGTAACACGCTTGATAGACCAAAAACTGCCGTCCGCGGGTGACCACACACAGGCTGGACCGTCAGACCCCCCCCCCCTCCCCCCTTCAGCACCTCTGCAATCGAATCAGAACTGCTGTACAAACTGCTGCTACAATCACTGAATGAAGAAATTAACATAAAGGTGCATAAATTGTTCGCAAGAGTCTGAGAGGAGCCGTAAATAGGAAATCCACTAGCGCTGAGACGTTGCAAAGGACATATGGACTGGTTAAGATGGTATGCCCCTAGAATTTAGAGGCGAATTAAGAGTTAATGACATCAACTTAACTTACGACATGTTTGAATTTTATTACGACACACTCTAAAATCACTTTTAAATATAAGGCTCAAAGTGAAAACTTAGCGTTATTAGCAAACTTAGATTATCACGTTTAATCTGAATATTATGCGTTTCTTTTTTTTTTTGTTGTTGTTGAGTATAGTAGTATTGGGATGTCGGTCTGTTGCGCTTTGGAATATCCATCTCTTATCCGCAACTCCTCGTATGCTACTAAATACAATAAATTTATTCGCTAATAACCAATATTTGCCCCCCCCCCCCCAAATTAAACTTTAACGGAGGAATATTTAATTACGTTCTTAAACAGGGGAATATACGCTGACTTCGAAGAACTGAATATTTTCATATGCAATGACGTCATGTGTTTGAAATGACGTCATATGAAATTGACGTAAATTTAAAATTTCCATGATTTCTACAGAAAAATATAATTATATTTTACGTCGATATCTGGAGTAAAAGCTAGTCACCGAGCGCAGGTCTGATCAGGATTAATATTTTGATATAATGTGTTAAATGATAATACCAATGAAATTTTTTTATATGTTAATAATTCCAATCTTCATTTTATCTATTGATTTCCTGTGTTTTGATTGGACGAGAACACGTTCCAGAAAATTTTTACACATCGATAAATTCTTTCCATCAGAACTACTTTCTTGATGACACTACTAGGTTATCGTATAAACAATGAAAGCAGTTATTTCTGGGTCTGTTCTGGCTAAATAATGAATACAAGAAACTTTAAATTTAATTAGGGCTTAAACAAAACTGGCAACATACTACACTGCCTAACTGATGGACGCCGTGAAAATGTTTATGTCACTGTCCGATCACGAGTGTGAATTTTAAAAATCGCTGTCTCAACGTTCATACGTAGAAAATAAGCTCAGTCTGTATCGTTTTGACAGGGAAAAGAAACGTACCTCAAACTCTTGCCCTATTAGCATCAAATTCATATTTACTTTCTATATTGTTCCTCAATATTTGAATAAACAAGTGAAAATTGAAGGCGTCGTCGGTCTGCTCACTTTCGCTATGAGCATGATGAGAGTTGTTGTTTATGTCAACATGGCCATGGTCAAAGACGAACTATTCTGAAGTACACTTGTAATTACGATATTTGTTTACTTAAACAACATTCGATTAGTTGTTATAAGTTTATTTATCGATTGTTTTGACAATTTAAGTTGAACTCTATCAAAATTCATCTCGATTACGTTCCTTTGCGGTAAAATGTATTCCTACGCCGTCCAGAAATAACGGATTGTATGGAGGCCTCAAAGAGAAATAATTTAAAAATTTTTAAAAATTCGATATTGGAATTATAAGAATAAAACGTTCTTTTTGAAAAATTTATCGATGTGTAAACTCTTGACATTTTACTCACAAACTTAACATAAAAGTGCTTCGCACTTTTATTTAGTTTGTGAGTAAAATGTCAAGAGTTTACACATCGATAAATTTTTCAAAAAGAACGTTTAATCCTATAATATTGTTCCTGAGCAAACTTGCGCTCTATAAATTTTAAAGCTTAAAAATAGTTGAAATTTGGTCCATTTCGTCCTTTTAAAAAAAATAATAAAATCGGATAAGGTTGTGACGTCTTAAAAGCAAAAATGGTCAATAAACTACTTTGAAACTATAATATGTTCTGTTCATTTATATTTCTCATATACAATTTATAAAATTCAGCACATTTCAAGAATTTTTCAAAAGAAGATGGGCGCATTTGGCGTGTGATCTGCAGGAATCATTTGTACGAAACATTTATGGTTTAAATGTCCATGATTTGGTTGGCTGGTTACATAGCTGGTCAGATTTAACAAACACGTCCATAGGTTTTTTTTCATTTAGTTTTAAAGACTCTGTGAGATTGCAACATTTATGTTCGTTTTTCCTAGGGGGTACCTTAAGATAGTAATGTTTCACAAAAAATAAACACCTAAATTATTTAATGCATAGATGCATGATATTTGTACATGTACATTATAGAATAGAAGATTGGAATTGATTTCGCTCGAGAACCAACTTGAGCCAAAATCTATCTAATTCAAAATTTTAATACATCAGTACATAAAACGAAACTGATAAAATAATTGTTTGCATGAAAAAAAAAATAAATAACGCCCAATGCAAGGCTCGAACCAAAAACTTCTCGCTACGAGTGCAGTGAACAGGTAACCCAACTTACTGAGCTATCACCGCTACATAGAGACAGATGATTTTAAAAGGACAAAGAAGAACCACATTCACACATTTGGATTTTTTGGGGAAAAGTTCATTTTTCGTGGTCTCTGGGTCTTATCTCCATTTTTAAAAAAAAATATATTCCTTTCTTTGAATTACAATACACACAAATAACGTTTAAAAATCATGGAGAGAAGACCCAGAGATAGAACAATTTTGGAAAAACGTGTTTAAAAATGTACCATTTTGTACAGAATGTCTGATCTGGCCAATTTTCAAGTCATTTTTTTAGCAAATCAAAGCTTAATTTCGGGAAAATATTTTCATTCCATGTTGCAAAGGAACCCGATAAATTAAAAAAAATGTTAAAATTTCATGTGATATGTCGATAAAATTTTCACTTTTAAATTACGCCCAGATTCCTGCTGAATGCCAATCAAAAGTGCCCTCGTTCTTTGACTTTAATGGGGGCAAAGATCTATATGCAATATACCGCATATAGTTCTTTGATGAGACTTTCAAGGAATCTTAATTACATAATTAATGCCATTATGCACCTCCTATTTGTTTTTTGATCCGATACATATTTTGGGTTTCCCATAGCAAAACATGGACATTGTCATAAATAAACAAGGTATCAGAGGACGGAAAAACAACCTCGAATGTATTAACATCACCGGATGTTAAAAATTTAATATTTCCATTTCTAAATTTTTTCTCTATAATTACCCTTTGAAAGTAAGCGGAGTTGATTCCCTCATAATTCTGCCGGAATGTAAATTAGGCAGGTCGATAGGTCAGCAGCTAAGGAGGCCTTATACGCATGCAAATCTCGTGCGCATCTGTCTCTGTGTCTGACGCTAAGGAGGCCAAATATGCATGTAAATCTCGTGCGGCTGCCTTTGTGTTTGACGTCACTGTGCGAGGACTATTGAAATTGGCATTGAAGTCCTCGTGTAATTTAAATCGATTAGTCTACATTTCTTAATGTCTAAGTCTACAATTTTTTTCACAATGAAATGGAAATATAAGGAATCACTGCCTAGTTTTGAGAGTATGCCAGGGACATCAACAATAGTGGGAAACATGGGATAATTTTAGCATAACGGGCTTCGCCCGTTATGCAAATTATCCCATGTTTCCCACTATTGTTGATGCCCTGGCATACTCTCAAAACTAGACAGTGATTTCTTAAAACATTCCCTTTTTATTCAGATTTACGATTGGCGGAGTAAGAAGTCCCTTCTATAGTATATTTTAGGTAATAGCATTACATAGAATAAAGTTAAACTCC